CCACTGGGCTCGGAGGGGCAAGGGGCTGCGCAGGGTGAATAGAGGGGCAGCCCCACCCTGCGCTCGGGAAGGAGCAGCCAGCCGGGCAGCGGAGAGGGACTGCTACCTCCTCCTAGGGTTCCAGCGCTGGCTCTCTCCTGGGACCAGCTGGGTTCAGATTCAGAGCGTGAAACGACTCTGCTGGTGCTCAGCAGTTCCCTGGGCCTCTGGCCATGTGCTCTGTGCCTGAAGGAGAGCCAGGCCCTGGGGTGTCCCTGGTGGCACTGCGCTTTGGGGCAGCCTCTGCCCCCTTGTGATTGCGCTCTGCTGCCACATCCCTGGCTGGCAGACCCAACCTCTGGGGACACCTGGGGGTGCTTTGCCCCATCCCTGCTCTGGTCCCCTTTTCTCAGGGATCATGCGCCCCTCTTGGTCTCACTCGCTTTCCCACGCAGCCGCTGCGCCCGTCCAGCCTGGCCTTGGGTGGGCACCATCCCTGGGGCTGGAACCCGGGCCCCTGCCAGGAAAAGGGAGCGCTCAGGGTTCTGGCTCGCCTCTCTCCAGGTGACCCGGCTGCAGTACCTCAATGCCCTCATGGCCTCCAGGATACAGCCGTCCCCCCAGTCGCCTGACAGCCTGGAGCTGAAGATCGTCCCCAACAGCCAGACGAAGCTCCTGGATGACAGGAACGCCATGCCAGGTGCTGGGGGCACAGGGGGCGCTGTGCAAACACGCTTCCCGAGGCTGCCATGCCCCACTGGGGATCCACTTAGCTGGCATTCGCTGGAGCGGCCCAAAGCACAGCACCCTGGGGGCTGCTCGAGTGGGCATACGCCAGGCCTCCATGTGCCCAGCGCGGACGGGCTGGGCAGGCTGTGGCCAGCTCCAGTGCTCCCAGAGCCCATCCTGGCTGCTGCGTGAGGACTCGCTGGGATCGGAGCCCAGCTGGCTGGCTCCCCAGGGCTGGGGGCTGCCTGCACCCACCCCTCCATGCTCTCCCTGCTTGCTGTCCCCTGCTGCCGCATGCGCACGTCTGTCTTTAACCCCTTCGCTGCTGCCCAGTGGCTGCACCTGGCGTCTCGGCCGGCTTTCCTCTCACACACTGACCAGCTGCGTGTCTCTGTGTTAGAAGATGAGGAGGCCTGTAAGCTGGGCCCCTCCCCTAGCTACAAACCCTCATGCTGCAGGGCGTGACGGAAGGGGTCAGGAAGGAACTTCCCCAGGGCAGGTGACTCCAGAATTGCCCGCAGGGGGATTCTTGCACCTGCATGTGAAGCAGCTGGTACCAGCCCCCACCAGAGCACTGGCTGGACCCAGGCCTGGTCCAGGCTGGCTGGGCTCATTCTCTGACCCAGCTGGAAGGCAGCACGCTGAGGGAGATGGAAAGTCTGTAGGGCTGAGGATGGGGCTGTCTGGAGTAAGCGCCCATCTCCAGCGTCCCCTGGAATGGCCCAATGTTGCCCAGCCTCATCTCGCCTCTCCCTGTCCAGCACCCATGCAGTGACCTGGGGACCCCGGCCTCTCCCAGCCCCGTCAGTAGGCGTTCCCCATCTCTGCTGTTCTCCACAGTAAGCAGCTGAGGGTTGCTTGACAGCCGCTGGGAGCATGCACTGGCGGGCACCCCCCAGCCAGGCCAATCACCCCGCCTGCTTGTCATGTGTCTTTCACGCTCTTCCCTCGTTTTCAGCAGCTGAGTGTCTCTCTCGCGCGCTCTGTCCAGCCACACACTCTCTCTTGGGCACAGCTGAGCTCTGCAGTTGATAGCGGGTTCTGCGGGATCCATGGGGTTACTGATGGGCAGGAGGTAAATATCTGAGCCTTCGTCCGCTTGGTACAGCAGGATTCTCAGGGTCTGTGCTCCCTGCTCTGCCCATGGTGCACAGGGTGGGGGGGTTGATCTGCTCTGGGAGCTGTGTCCGGTACAGGGGCCTGGCTGTCTCCATCCTAGTCCTTCTGGGTGCCCTCCACCCCCTGTAGCCATGTCTCTTCCCCAAGGCCTTCAGGGAGGCTCTGAAACCCAGTGCCGCCGTCACAAGTCACTGGCTGCAGCTCCAGGCCTGCCCGACAGTCACCGTCTCATTTCTGGAGCTCTTGGTCCCCGTGTGCGGCAGGACGGGGGTAGGGCAGAGCTTGGTGCTGCCTTCTCTCAGGAGAGGAGCCATGGGAGTCTGCTGGTACCACCCCAGCGGGTGGTTGGGAAGAATGGCCACAGGCAACCATGTGGAACAGGTCCGAGGGAGACCAGAGCGGGCTTGGCCTCCCTGGTAAGGAGCCAGACTAGCCTCGGTCACTGCCGGATGCTCATGCACCGTCCCAGTGGCGCCCCCTGCAGCCTGGGTGCTGAGCAGTTCCCCCAGGCAGTGGGAGGGTCCTTCCCTTTGGCTCAGCCAGTGAGCCACGGCCCCCAGCTCAGGGCTTGTTTCCTGCTTGGACTGGTGAACGGGACCCCCTCACTGGGTGATGGATCAGTGTCCCGAGGGTAATTAGCCCAGGTCATGGCACTGCAGCTCTGCAGCAGAGCCCGAGCTCTGGCCCTGGGTGGCTAGAGGTGCCGGTGTGATGGGCGCAGGGGGTTGGGCTGGAGCATCTCCCTGGTTCCACTGACTGCTGGCGGGAGCTGCTGGGCCCAGCCTTGCAGCAGGCAGCATGGCCTGCTGGGCTGAGACCTGGATCTAGCCCCAGCTCTGCCACTGGCCTGGAGGTGACCTTAGGCAAGTCCCTGCCCTTCCCCCTGCCTCAGTTTCTCCATCTGTGCAAGTGCCTTTGGGATCTGTGGGTCCTAGAGATGGAAAACGCTGGCTGGGCCATGGCAGGGTTGTGCCCTGGGGCACCATCCTTGGAAGCCCCCCACCCACCTCCTGGGGCTGAATGGGTGTGTAATGGCCGTTCTCTCTGCTCTGGTACCAGGAAAAAGCAGCCAGCCCCTTGGGGAAGAGGAGCACACAGGCATCTAACCCCTCCCCCCGCAGGACCTGCTGACGGCAGCGTGAGAGCTGGCGCCATCCTCAGGGCTGTTCTAGCTGCCTCTTGGCTGGGAGTCGGGCCCTGGGGACTCGCCTGACAGCAGCAGAAATCTCATGGGGTGGGATGCCCCAGACGCCCTCCGCGTGCGCACGCACACACACACACCGTGCTGCCTGAAGGGGCTGCCCCAAAGGATGCCAGCCACTTGGACTCTGCTCCAGAGGATCTTGCTGCATCAGGACCAACTGCCAGGGCAGCCAGAGCTGGATTCCAGTCCCCGGGAGAATGACCCGATCCCCCCTCGGTGGCCGGAGCCCCGGGCAGCAGCAGCACCTGTGCCGACAAACCTCCAGGGCGCAGCGCTCAGATTGAACCAGACCCGCTGGCTGCTGGGGGCACCTGGCGAGCTGGGTGGGGGCTGCAGGAGAGGTGGTGGGTTGTGGGCTGGTTTCTCCATAGGGTGCCCTCTGTGTGTGCCTGGACTAGGGTTTACTCTCCTTGGCGTGTTCTCTGCCAGGCTGCCCTGGGCTGTCCCTCCTCTGCCAGTGTCAGCCTGGGCCATTCCTCTGAGCCCGCCAAGCCAGCTGTGCTCCAGGAGCCATGCTGGGATGCCTCGGCCTGCCCCAGGGCAGAGTTGTATGGCCAGTTACCTGTCTAGGCTTCCCTTCCCCTGGGGCGCTGGGTGTCACCCTATCCCTGCCCTCCTAAGCCAGGGCCCATCACTGCCAGCCCCTTCCAGCGGCTGCCAGCAGAGAGCCCACATGGGAGGCTAGGCTCTGCCCCTGCACCCCTGGCTGTCTCTTCCCGAGGCACTGGGGGTGCTGCCCTTGCCCCAGGCTCTGCAACCTGAGCCAGTCTTCACAAATGGGCCCGGTGGGGCTGGCCGTCAGTCAGCGGGGTTGATTGCTGAGGTGCACAGTCCTTGCAGCCCTGTCCTCCCCTCCCCCCGAGGATGAGAGATCACAGGAGCCCCAGGTGCCGCGATTGCAGACTGCGTTGAGCAGTCTAATGGACGGAGATTCCCCACCCCTTGGACACGTTGCCTGGCCACAGGCCCCGGAAAGCTCACGGCTGCTAGAGGGCTAAAAGTCTGACATGGACACAGGACCACTGGGCTGAACACCTGCCTTGTTTGCTCCTCTCTACTCCCTGTGTTTTCAAGGCGCCAGGCGCTGGGTGGGAGAGCAGCGCCTGGCCCCAGAACAGCAGAGCCTGGCGAAAAGCTGGGGGCGTGCAGGTAAAGGAGTTGTAATCTGCCCTGTTGTATCCATGCCTGTCTGTCCCTTTCCCATGGCCTCTGCGCGGTGTGGGGAGGGGCCTGGGCTGGATCTTACTGCACGAGGTAGGTGCTGCCGTTAAGTGGGGTGGAAATGGGGGGGGGGTGGCTGCAGGCACTTCTTGGGTGAGCAGTCCCTGTTTTCCCGTCCCGCCCCCCCAGAGCCCCTCAGGCACCAGTACAGGGAGGGACCAGGGCCTGCCAGCCAGGGGTCAGGGGCCAGGCCTGCACACCTGTCACGTCTTGGCTAGAGGAAAAGGTTTTCTGTGAAGGCTCCTGCACCCTGAAACGGGGCTTCCTGCGAGGGCCACCCACCCTCGACGCTGCCCTGGGTTAACCCCCATGAGCAGACCCTTCCCCCTCTGGCACAGGACAGGAAACACCCATTCCAGGGCCCAGGCTAGTCACTTTCCCTCCCCAGCGCTGGCCCCCTCCCTCTGAAACCTGCACAGTTGCCTGCAGTAAAAGGAGGTGCCCGGGCTGGGCTGAGCGGGGAGATGCTGCTGGAGAGGGTGGGGGCCGCTTGCTGGCACAGTTCATGCAGTGCTGCCCTGCAGTGACGGGGGAGACAGGTGTGGAGAAGGGAGGGACTGTGAGCCAGGTGCCCCTCCCCCTTCTAAGCTGCCTTCTTCCTAAAAGACCTGGTGTGATCCAACCAAGCTGTGATCCAGCCCCCCGTCTGCCCCACATAGTGCAGCCAGGAGGCCAGCACTCACACCCCTCTGTTGCCCTGGCACGGCGCCTGGGTAGCAAGGGTGGATACAGAACATGGCACTGCCGCTGCTTGGAAGGGAGCTTTATTCAATTGCCTAGGGGCCGGGTACCCGCAGGCCTGGAGCCCACTCTGCAGGGAGCTGGGGGCTGCGGCTAGGGCAGATTCCCGGCTGTACCTGCTGCCGCCTTGTGCACTTGTGCCTGCTCTGGCCTGTGCCCATCCCAGCAGTATTGGGGCACAGGTGGGGCCGCTTCAGGCAGTGACTGGCACTGGGAGCTGTAGTCCCAGGCAGGAGCCAGGGCAGGGGTGCAGGGAGTGTCTCCTCTAACCTCACCCCCCCAGCCCTGGGCACAGAGTTCCTTACCCTCCCAGCAGGGAGCTAGAGCCTCTACCTGCCGGGGGCCCTGCTAAGGCCAGCATTCAAAGGGCACTGGTGCCAGGCCGGGGGGGAGGGAGGGCAGCCCTGTACCAAGTCTGCGCTATGCCAGCGTTGCAGGCACTCTCCTAGGCCGGCTGCCCCAGAGCGTGGGTCCATCCAGCTCCATTAGCACCCAGGTAGCAGTTCTGGCGGGGGAGAAGTGCTGCCCGTGCCAGCGTGTGTAAGAGGGGGCCCAGGGGCCATACTCCAGCCGCAGCAGCTTCCTGGGCACATTAAATATGTCCGTTGCAACCCACATGGTCTCAGCCTGACCTGCAGTGCTGAGGTGGCAGCCTGCGGCTCTGAGAGCTGCCCAATGGGCTGGGCATGAACTCAGAAGCTGGCTCCATTCACTGTTAGCCCCATTTTACACATAGGGAAACTGAGGCAGGGGACAGGACTCACCCAAGGCCAGCAGCAGAGAAGCAGGACCATGTCCCTCAGCCTGGGCACCTTCCCCCTAGGACTTAGGGAAGAGCCAGAACCAGGCTGGGGTCAGGGCAGACTCAGTGTGTTGCCGGTGGGTGCTGGCTGGCTCCAGGCTAACTGGCTGGAGGGTCCCCTGTTCCTTGGGCTCTAGTCTCCCTATCTCCACAGGCGGCTCAACCAGCTCACCTCCTCCGGGGCCAGCAGCGCTCCCGGGGACTGGGGGAACAGAGGGGGCTGTGCCTGTCCTGTGCCAGGCTGTGAGAGGGCACCTCTCCCCCCAGCTGTTAGCCATCTCCTACCCTGCTGCTGTTACCCACTGCCTGAGCCCAGGGGACACGTATGGCTGGGAGCTGGCACAGCCAGGCTGCTGGAGGCCAAGGGTAAGGCAGGGGCTGCGCTCACAGCTACAGGAGGCTGGGTGCAGCTGCCCCCTTGGCCATGGGCAGAGGTGAGGGGCTGGGGGGGAGCAGCAGCAGGAGCCCCTCAGGCACCAGGCCCTGCCAGCCAGGGGGTTGGGGGCCAGGCCTGCACACCCTTAGGGGGCAGCCCAGGGCACAGAGTGACCGTGAGACGGCCGAGGCCAGGCCAGGAAAGCCGCCTGCCTCCAGCAGCCAGGAACCTGCGCTGGCCTGGGCCCAGCTGACCCGTCTCACTGCCCCATTTTCTACCCCCAGGGCTGGCTCAGCCTCTCCCTGCAGTCAGCCCCGCCCCCCCAGCTAACCCTGGGGTGCAACAGGTGCCTACCCCTGGGGGGCAGCAGTGTTCCTTCCAGCATGGCCTCGGGAAGGCCGCAGGGCTTGCCTGCCCAGAAGTGGGAGGGGGCCAGGCCAGGGCCCAGAAGGGGGAGGGGGTCCGCTCAGACCCCCAGGGCAGTTCCTCTCCTTGTGGTGCGGGCCATGGGGAGATGGTGCCTCCTAGTGGTTGGAGTGGGGCTGGGCAAAACAGCAGGACTCCTGGGTTCATCTCCAGCTCTCCCACTAACTGGCTGTGTGGCCATGGGCAAGTCTTAGCCCCTCCATACCTCAGTTTCCCCAAGGGATGGCAAGGACCTCACCTGGCCAAGGGGCAGCTCCAGGGAAAGGGACACATCCCCATACAAGCAGGAATAGGGGAGCGTCCGGCTCAAACCTCACCGCCCTCCCCCCACCCCACGAGCCCTCCAGAGACGGGTGGCCCTATCCCCTGGCCAGACATGGGAGCCATGTAGGGATGAGCACGGCCTGCAGAGGGCACTGAGGTGGCTCACGGCAGGGCCCAGACCCCCTCAGTGGTCAGTAGTGGGGGAGGGGATTGAACGCTGGTCCTGCTGCGTCAGTGCGGCCGAGGGGGGCGCTGCTGGTCGGCACACGCCTGCAAGGTTTGTCGGATGCCCCTCTGCCAGTCCTTCACCAGGTCCACGGGTCGCAGGGCTTCCTGCAGGGAGCAGACTCTGTTAGGCTGCCGCTGGGCACGAGCCCCTTCCCTGGCACTAGGCCAGGACGGCCGCCGTGAAGCCAGCGCGCACTCTATTCAAGCAGTCCAGGGAGGGGGCAGAGCCCGCTGGGCTGGGCAGGGCAGGGCTTTGCAGAGAGCATGGGGCAGGCCTGGAGGCAGCATGTGGGGAGCTCTCCCCTGGGGCTCCTGCAATCAGCCAAGACTCCAGTTGGAGCAGGAACAACCGGGCCGAGGAGCTTGAGCAGGGCTCACAATACTCGTCCCATATCTGACCACGAGCTCCTAGCCACGGTCCCAGAGCTGGGATACAACCCAGAAGTCCGGGCTCCCAGCCCCCACTGCTGCGACCGACTAGCCCCCACTCCCCTCCCAGAGCTGGGACAGAACCCAGGAGTCCAAGCCCCTAGGGTTGGATGTCTTGTACCATTGGCTACAAGCCCCCTGGCTGGACAGGGGGAGCAGCCCCTGCCCTCCTGAGCTGCCCCTGGGGGAGCCCCACATGGTGCCCACCTGGTTCCGGACGCTGAGGTTGGCACCATACATCAGCAGGGTCTTCACAGCCTTGAAGCGGCCCAGCCGGATGGCGTCGTGAATGGGCGTGTCCCCCTCCTGCCAGCCAAAGGCACGGGCAGCTCATCGGACAAGGGCCCATGCCTGGCACTGCCCCCTCCCCTGCCCATGCACAGCCCTGCTGCAATGTGGTGAAGCGGCCCAGCCGGATGGCGTCGTGAATGGGTGTGTCCCCCTCCTGCCAGCCAAAAGCACGGGCAGCTCATCGGACAAGGGCCCATGCCTGGCACTGCCCCCTCCCCTGCCCATGCACAGCCCTGCTGCAATGTGGCTGGCTCTGGGGACCCGCGCAGCACCCAGCCGGCCAGCCCAGGGTACAAGCCTGCCCCCTGGACCCTGCAGCATCAGCCAGGGCCCCCCCCTCATGGCTCCGGACAGCGCCCCTGTGGAGCGAGGCTAGGGGCTCAGGCCCCGGGTGCTACCTTGTCCTGTGCATCAATCTCGGCTCCACAGGCGATCAGGCGCTCGGCGCAGTCACAGTGCCCTGTCCGGACAGCCACGTGCAGCGCCGTGCTCCTCAGCTGCCGGGGAACAAAGGCCTGTTACCATGGCAGCACCCCTGGAAACCGCCCCGCCAGGAGATGGCCTCCCACCATGGGGCGTTCACCCCTCCCCCACAGCCCCCAATACCCAGCTGCCAGCACCACACCCTCCCCAGGGTCCCCAGCTGCCCACAGCATGTTTGGGCAGGGAGCTCGGACCAGGCCCCAACCAGCGCCAGGAGGGAGGGGCCCAAGCAACAGAGCCCAGGCCTGGGGCGGGAGCCCCTCTCCCCACTGATCCATCTCACCTCTACAGCACACCCAGTTTAGGACAGGAAGTGACAGGAAATAGAGGTGTGTGGATGGAGTGATGTAGGGAAGGTGGCTGGGCGCAGAGTGAGATCCAAGGCTGGCATCAAAACGGGACCCAGAGAGCAGGGAAGGAGCCTGCCCCATCAGTGGGTGAGGGGCAGAGCCCCAGGGAAACCCACCCCCCAGCAGAGTACCCAGAGGGACCCCTCAGCCACGCAGCCCAGGGAGCAGGAGCTCTCCCGGCCATGGCAGAGGCCCCGGTGCTGCCCCCACTTGGCTGCCAGCCCCAGCTACTCACCTTGTCCCGCGTGGAGATCTTGGCTCCTCTGTCCAGCAGGCGTTGGAGAATGTCCAGGTGCCCCCCGCGGCAGGCCCAGAGCATAGGCGTGGCCTCCAGCTGGGCAGAGCGAAGGCAGAGTCAGGCGCTGAGCTCCCGGGGACCACAGCACGGGGCTGCTTGGGGGAACAGACTCTGGGCCCCAGGTCACCGCGCCTGGGAGGGTCTCTAGGTTTGCCAGCCCTTGGGAATGACTCTCAGAGCAGGACCCAGGGGGCTCTGACCGCACCGTGCACCCTGGCCATGGGAACCGGCAGGGGGAGGAGGACAGGTCAGTGGGCACCAGACGCTCGCTTGCTCACCATGTCCCTGGGCTCCAGCTTGGCTCCAGCCGCCAGCAGCTTGTCCACGATCTCTGCATGGCCCCGGAGGCAGGCCCAGTGCAGCGCCGTGCACCTGAACTGCAGCAGAGACCCAGGTTACCCGATAACAGACAACCCGCCCCCCCTCAGCACTAGATCCCCGCTGCCCCCGCCCCGCTCTGCTAGTCCCCCCCTACACACTCCGGGTGCTAGATCCACCCCCCCACACACACGTACACACACACACGCGCACACACTCCAGGTGCTGATCCCCTCCCCCCCATGCCAGTGGCCAGTGGAGAGGGCGGGGCTCTGGTAACACCAAGTTCTCGCTGTCTCAGGGGCGTGGCTGGCTGGGTCTGGCTCACACCCCAGGTCTCGCTGGGGGCCTGTGCCCCCATGCACACGCCAGCAGGTTCGAGACGCCGGAGGGCTTGGGCTCTGGAACAGCCCCCCATGAGCATTGCTGGCCAAACGCCATCACTAGTTTGAAGCGAGCGCAGGACAAACAGTCGAGAGGGGGCGTCCGTTCGCTGGGGTGTTTGAGCCCATCGGGGGCTGGGCTGGTTGAAGTCCCATGTTCCTAAAGCTCGTGCTTCAGGGTTTCAGCTGGCCACTGCCAGGGTCAGGAAGAGATCCCTCCCCCCCCCACACACAGTGTATTCTGGGAGGTTAAACGGGGACAGCCCCAGCTGGAGATGGCCAGTGGGGAGGGCTGGGCTCTGGTGGCACCGAGCTCTCTCTGTCTCAGGCGCGTGGCTGGCCGGGTCTGGCTCACACCCCAGGTCTCGCTGGGGGCCTGTTTCCCCCAGGTCAGACGCAGAGACCTTGGGGGCTTGTCAACTTCCTCTGCAGTGTGGGGGGTGGGTCCCTTGCCAGGTTGTCTGGGTGCGTCTCTTCATCATCCCTGCCACTGCGGGGCACTGGGCACCTCAGTCCTGGGGCACATGCCAGCCTGGGCTCCTGAGGGCTGGGGCTTTGGTTGTTGGGTGTGTGGGTGCTGGTGGCCTGGGATATACAGAGGGTCAGACTGGGTGAGCTGGTCCCATCTGCCCTTAAGCTCTATGACCCCCCCAGAGGCTCTAGATCCCCCGTGACAAAGTGGGAGATTTTCTTATCTTTTCGTGGTTTTCCAATGGTTTGTACGCAGAAGGAGTGGGACTCAGTGCCCCTGGGCGTTACTGGTTTAACGAGGTGAGGGGAGAGGGAGTTTGTTGTTACAGAGGACCGGAGAGGGAACTTGGGACCCCAGCCAATGGCCTGGAGGAGGGACACCCGGCGACTGGTGACCTGACGACCCTCACCGGAGACCCAGCTCAGGAGTCGCAGCCAGTTCTGGCCAGTGGGAGGACAATAGGCTGCGAAGAGAGGACCCCATGACCTAACCAGCCAGGGGGGCGGAGAGCAGAGGAGGCCCAGAGGACCCTGTTTACCTGGAAAGAAGACAATGGACAGAGGCGGGGCCTGGGGCCAGTGATATCAGATGCCCAGCTGGGAGCAGGGGGACTCGGGGCTGGAGAGGGGGAGCAGGCAGAGCCCACCTGGATGCAGGGGAGACTGGGATGTGCTGGGCTGAAGGAGGCCAGGCGTGAGGGTCAGAGGGTTTCCTGTGCTGTGTTCAGACGCTCAATAAACCCTCCTGTTTTATGCTGGCTGAGAGTCACTCCGGTCTAGAGAACAGGGTTGCATCAACCCCTTCGGGGTGGGGGGGTGGAGGCCCCTGGGGTCCAAAGCGAGTGGACTCCCTGAGGGGGCCCACGGCGAGAAACAGACGTGCTAAGGCTCCGAGAGGTGCAGCTCCAGGAGGTGGAGGGGCCTGACCCCAAGAGAGAGTGGACCCCGAGAAGGGCTGTCTCACCGAAAGGGGCACCCCCCACGGACCGCATGGGGCCAAGAGTGGGCATGATCTGTGAGTCTGTGACACCCCACCTCCCCACACACACACACACGCTCCAGGTGCTAGATCCCTGGTCCCCACCCCCACCCCGTGGCAGGCTGTACACACCCTGCCCAAGGAGCATTCTGCTGGGGGCGCCCGGTCAAAGGCTACAGCTGGGTCCCCCCGGCCACAGAGCATCAGCCTAAGCAGGGGATGTCCCATGGCACCCGGAGCGGCTCACCGGCAGGCTGGGCTTGTGATGATAACCAACTTTGCCGAATGCACCTCCTGGGTTAAAGCCCCAGACCCCCCCACCACACACACCTGGTCGTGAGCATCGGGGTCCCCACCGTCTGCCAGGTACTTGTCAATCATGGGAACCTGGTTCTCCAGCACCGCCTGCAGGAACCGGGCAGCGTCCACAGGCTCAGCCTAGGGCGGACAGGGAGGGGTGAGTGCCCGGGCAGTGCCCCCCCCAGGGACACTGCCCAACTGGCTCAGAGCATCTTGCCAGCATCTTCCCCGTTCCCCCCAAGGGCAGCCCCAGCCTGCATGTGGGCTGGCACCGCTGGGCCTACCCGCTCGGTGTGCCACAGGAGGGCGGGCTGTGAATCCCCTGGGAGCTGTGGCCCAGCCACCACTGAGGGGGCCAGAGCAGGGGGTTCCTGGCTCCGGACTAGTCCAGCTGGCTGGGACTGAGTGACCTGAGCCCCCTGTGGCCAGGCTCCCATCCTGGGCTGGGCAGCAGGGGCATTGCTCACCGGCACAGCCGGCTCGGGCTCCTTGGGGCGGACCCTCTTCCGGCTCCTCTTGTGCTTCCGCAGCCTCACGATCGCCTCCAGGTCTTGGAGACTCTCCAGCCGCACACGGGTGCTGTCGAACGTCTCAAGCTGGCCGGGGGGAGGGCAGAGAGCAGGTCAGGGCAGAGCCAGCAGTGCCTGGAGCCGGCACCAGCCGCCCAGGAGAGCGGACAGGAGCTGGGGCCATGACTCACCCAGCTGGGTTTGTCCTGAGCACGGGACAGGAACCGGGGCACTCAGGGTCCCCCCAGAGTCATCTAGGCCCATCTGAGCTCCTGGCACAGAGCCAGTTCAAGGGGGTCAGATTCTAGGACGAGGGGGGGACAGGGGAGAGCTAGAATCCCCGACACCTGGTTCCACCAGCCTAGGGAGACCACTGCTGAATACTACAGTGCTCTCCGCTGAACAGGAGCCCGGGGCTGGGACTGCAGGGGCTGCAGTTTGGAAGTGAGGGGCTCCAGCAGAGATGGGGGTGAGGGAGGCCAGGGCCGGGGTAATAGGGGCTGCAGGTCGGGAGTGAGGGGCACCAAATGCCATTCTGCCCTTCACAGAGCAGGACAAGCAAGCACAGAGTTAAAAGAGCTAGAAAGGCTCTGCCAAGAGGACCGACACCAGGACTGGGGAAAGACACTATGGATCCTATAGGATCCTGCCCCCTGGAGCAGGAGATGCGCCCACCCCACCCTGCCAGGGGCCAGCTGTTCACCTTCTTCCTCTTCTCTTCCTTCACCTTCTGCTTCTCCTCGCTGACGGCATCCCGGACCCTGGCCACGCCATGCCGCCAGCCCTCGGGCTCCTGCGCTGCTCCCCTCGCCAGCACCTCGAAGGCCCGCACCTTCCCCTCATACCTGTCGCCACTTACCTGGGGAGAAGGAGGGGCAGGAAAGGTAGAGGGTGCAGCCAGGGCATGAAATGTAGGAGATGGAGCATCCCCATGGGACATGGGGCCTTTCCCCTCTGGGGGGCACCAGCTCCGATCCACCCCAGGGCAGGGACTGGCTGGCTCATGGGGGCAGGGAATGGGACCTGGGACCTTTACCGCCTAGGGGGCACTGGCTCCCATCTAACCCCAGGGTGGGGACTGGCTGGCTCAGGGGACAGGGAATGGGAGACAGGGGCTTTCCCGTCCAGGGGCAGTATCTCTCATTCGGCCCTAGGGTGGGTGGGGAATGGGACATGGGGCCTTTCCCCTCTGGGGGGGCACTGGCTCCAGCCCCAGGGCTTGAACTGGCTGACTCAGGGGGGTGGGGAATGGGATGCGGGGCCTTTCCCCTCTGGGGGGTGCTGGCTCCCATCTGGCCCCAGGATGGAGACTGGCTGGCTCAGGGGGCACGGAACATGAATTAAAACTCTGGGGGTGTTGCGAGGCCAGGCCATCTCTACAGCTGGGAAACAGACACGGAGCAGGGTAGGGACCTGCCCGGGGTCATAGCGGGTCAGTGGCAGAGCTGGGCGCTGGGAAGGAGGCTGGAAGTGCTCTGCCCAGCTCCCCATGAACCCTGTCACTCCTAGCTCTGCCAAGTGGGAGTGGGAACGGGACATTCCCAGGTTGGGCCCTTAGCAGGCCTGACCCTGGGCTGTGCACGGCTCTCCCTGGATCACTCTCTCCCTGGCTGGCTCGGCCTCCCCAGCCCAGGTGGCACTGGCTGGGCCCCATACGCCCAGGGGAAGGGGGGTGTCTAGTTCCTGCTCTGCCATCTCCCGTCACTGCTGCCCAGGCGTCCTGCTGGCTGCGGCTGGCATTCCGGCCGTGCCTTGCTGCCCTGGAGGGCCGTGCACCTGTCCCGGCCCTGGCCAGCGTCAGCCCCTATTTATACCCCCCCCCCAGGGGCTGGTGGGCCCAGCATGAAATAAACATCACGTGTGGCGGATGCTGCCCAAGGGCAAACAAGTGCCAACAAGCCTGCAGGGCCAGGGGCTGCAGAGTGCCAGGGGCAGCAGGGGGCACCCAGCCCACCCTGGGGAGACCAGGGCAAGCACCTACAAAGCAACAACTCAGTCGCACAGCGGCCTTGGCGCAGCTCAGAGGGACCAGCCCAGGGGCCGCCCAAACAGACCCCGCGGCACCGAACACCAGCCCTGGCGCGTTAGCCATGCCCCAGCCCCACACGAGTGGGAAGGCGCAAAGGGGATCCCACCAGACCCACCGTGTAGGGACACCTGAGGAGAGCACAAGGGCAGGGGGTGACCCGGAGGGGGGACAGCTCCCTGGCACAGTTCCCTGCATCCCCCCTCAGCTACATCTCCACAAACCCAGCCCCAACAGCGGGGAGGGGAACCCACTTGCCACCTCACCGCAATGAGGGGCGACAGCCCGGGGGGGGCCCCCGGCCTGGATCGGGGCCCAGCGAAGCGACAGCCCAGCGCCCTGGAGACCAGGCCGTGGCGCTCTCCGGGGGGGCTGGGCTGCTGGGAGCAGACATTTGCCCCATAACCAGCCCCCCCATCGGACACGGGGTCAATCCAGAGGCCCCCTCCCCCGACCTAAGGAGAGTCCAGCGGGGACCGCCCTGTACCCAGCCTCGGCCCGCTGCGCCCTCCCCGCGGCCAGGGCTTCTGCCCATGCAGCCACCTCTGGGGTGGAGCGCGGCAGCCGCGCTGGACAGGGCCGCCAGCGAGAGCCCGCGGGACCCAAGGGCTCCGCAGCGTCCCCCGCGGACTCCGTTCCGCTGCCCCGCACAGGAGGGTGCCCCGGGCGCTGCGCTCCGCCGCCCCTTGGCCCCGCCGCAAGCCGGGGCACCCCCCGCTCACCAGCTGCTGGACGCTGATGAGCTCCATGATCCGCCCGCTCCGGCGCCCGCGCCCGCAGCCGGCCCGCCCCACCCCGCTGCTTTTATCCCAGCGGCCCAGGGTCGGGTCCGCCCCCACCCCCTGCTCCGGCCCCAGCGACCCGCCCGGCTCCGCCCCGGGCTCCCCCCTGAGCGGCCAGCAGCGGGACACGGGCAGCGCCAGCCTGGGCCAACCGGCCCCAGCGCGCAGGAGGCGGTGTGGGTCCCACAGGGGTCTGCCATGGGGTGCCCCGACCGGACAACCCTTCCCGGAGAGCCTCACGAACACCCCTGGGCCCTTCTAGCGTCAGAGTCGGCAGCCACCAGCCCCCTCCTCAGCGGGGACACTGAGGCACAGAGCTGGGGCAAAGGCCTGGCCGAGGCAGGACTAGAACCCAGCTCCCCACCCGGGCTAGTCTGACAGGTAACCCCCCGCCACGCTGCCCCTCGGCCTCAGCCCCAGGGAGATGGGCCTGGGGACCAGCTGACGTGCCCAGCCCTGGCCCGCCCGCGCCCCCCCCCCGTGCCAGGCGCTGCGCAGGCACAGAACAGAGACAGTCCCTGCCCCACACTGCTCCCCTCTCTGGGTAGGGGAGTCAGGGCGAGTTTGTACAAAAAAAGGACGGGCAGTTTGTGAGGGATTTATTATGAATTTATGCTCTGCGAGCATGTCCCCCGCCCCCCAGAAACAGGGCACCTCCCAAGGACACTATACACTGCAAGGAGTGGGGGGGCTCAGCAGGGATCTGACCAATCAGTGCTGGCCCTAGTGTGTCCCTAGGGGGCGCTGTGCTGCAGGCAGCAGGGCAGGCATGCAGCAAGGGGCACTTTCCCCTGTAGGTCGGTGCTGGCACTAGGGGGCGCTGTGCTGTGGGGAGCAGGGCAGGCATGCAGCAGGGGGCACTCTCCCCCATAGAGCAGTGCTGGCCCCACTGCCTGTGATGCTGCTGGCCATCACTGAGGCCAGCATCCACGTTCCAGCCCCTGCGCCTCCCCATGCAGCGTCCACTGATCCCAGCTTGGGGGGACTCTGCTGGACCCTCCCTGGGAGACAGGGTGGGGCAGTTCCCCCCCCCCCAAACAAAACCTCTGCTTAGCACTGGGGATGGGTGGGAGGGGTGGCTTTCTGTGGGCCTAGGGTGATGGGGGGGTCCCTTTAGCATGTAAGGGAGGCATAGAAGAAGCCACCCCATCCCCAGCCAGATCACTGTGCAATAGATGGGGAGGGGTCTGGACTCCCCTCCAATCCAGCTGTGGGCAAGTGGGGAGGGTAGGATCCCACCCCCACCCTGCTTCCTGCCAGAAACAGGCTCACAGGGCTTGCGGCGGGGGCTGGGCAGAACAGCAAGTGGATAGTTGAGGGGGCAACACAGGGCTGGGGTGGGCACTAACCCCTCTTCCCCAGCAGAGGGCAGACACGCCCTGCCGGACCCCAGAGACCAGCCCCTAGCAGCCGGGACCACCAGCCCACAGACAGGGCAGGGGACTAGGCAGGGAAGAGTTAATGGTGCTAACGCCCGACATCCTGTCACCAGATCCTTGGGGGCTCCAGTTCCCCAGCTCAGTGCCAAGGACTGAAATAGCCCTGCAACAGGGGACATCCTATCCCACCCCCCCGCTTCTCCCTCCAGCTCAGGGTTACCAGAGAGGAGCCCCTGGCAGCCTTCACCAGGCCAGAAATCCCAGCAGAGGACACCATGCTGCCCTCTGCTCTGGGCACAGAGCAGGCCACTGGCCTTCACCCCAGCCAGACTCCTCCTCCCAGGGGTTGGGAGCCTGCAGCCCTGCCGGGTGGGGTCTGTGGTGGCGAGCAAACCGGACCAGGCCACACCGGTCGCGCGTAGCTAGTGCCTCTGCCTTCCCAGCGGAGACCAATAGCTCTGGGCAATGCCCACAACCAATATGGCTGCCTCAGTTTCCTGCCAGACATGTGGCCCTGGGCAGTGGTGCCTGGCCCATGCAGAGGGCTGGGCACAGACCCCTGCCCCCCAGAGTGCCACCCCGCCACCAGCCACTGCAGCTGCCTGAGCGCGGAGCCAGCAGCCTCTTCCCTGCCTATGGAGGCCAGGTCAGCACATTGGGAGCCCCTGAATGGGGACCCCAGCAATGCAGGCTGGGAACCCAGGAACCCTGGTGTCCTGCAGTGTCGCTGGAGTCCCCTTGATCTCAGCCCCTGGGTGGGCTCCCGCCAGTCAGTGACACCGGAACAGGGTTTATAGTGACTCCTTCCTTTTCCCTGCCCAACTCTGCCCGTTTCCCTCTCCCGCCGCTGCAGCAGGCTCCCCAGAGCAGCCACCCAGTGGGGCATACGCCCAGATCACCCCAGGGCTGCAAGCTCAGAGCCCAGGGTGCTGCAATCCCGCCACAGGCCAAGAGGGGGAGACAAAGCCCAGCGCATCCTGGCACAGGGCCACCCCCCCACCCGCTGCTCTCAGGTCTCCAGGAGGTCCCGCAAGGCACCGCTGCTGGGGACCAGGTCACATGCTCTCCTGGCCCTTCTGTCCTGGACGCCCTTCAGTCCCGGGCTGTGCTGCAGCAAGAGCTCACAGAGCTCACGGTGGCCTCCCTCGGCAGCCTGTGAAAGGAGAGCAGGAGTGAGGGTGGGGGGCATGCTCCCGTGGGGTGGGGGGATGGGTGGCACGCTCCCAGGGGGCGGGGGGCAGAGTACGGCACAGACCCTAGAAGAGTATTCGCTAGACCAGGATGCCCAGGGAGGAAGGAGACGTCTCCTGTCAGCAAAGGGGAGGACCAGGGCCCAGCTGGGGTGCAGGACAGGGCACTGACTCTGCAGCCCCCTCGCCCACAGAACTGCAGCCCGCTGCTCTGCGAACAGGAGCTAGAGCAGAACTTTCCCGGATGCAGGAACGGGGTGGCATTGTCTGCTCCAGCCAGCAGAGGGCGAGCGACACCTGCTGGGACAGGTCTGCCTGCAGGGGGCAGCAGTGTGCACTGAGACCCCCACCAGCAACAGGGAAGGACACGGGGACAGTGGAGGGAGGGGCCCCAGTTCTGCACCTTATGCAAACTTGTCATGCCATCGTCATCCGCAATGCCGGGGTCGGCTCCATGGGCCAGCAGCAGCCTGGCCACGTCCACGTGGCCGCAGTAGCTGGCTCGGTGCAGGGCAGTGGCCCCGCCGTGGGTCTGGGCGTTGCACCGGGCCCCACTCTGCAGCAGGAACTGGCAGACGGCGCCGTGCCCATTGCGGCTGGCATAGTGCTTTGAAACACAGGGAAGAGGGTGCCTCAGGAGCCGCCTCTGCGCACAGGTCCTTCTGCCCCCCACGCCTCAAAGCCCACTGCACACCCGGCCCAAGGATGCTGAACTGCAGCTGGCTCTGGGGAGGGACACAGCCCAGCTCACAAAACAAGTTTCCAGGGGATCTAGCTGTTTAAGAACCTCCATTTAATACCCCACCCAAGTCATGGCATTTTAGCACCATGCAGGGAATTGGCACACAGCATTGAGGCCTTGGGTAGGTAACGCTCGCTCGCTCTCCCCCAGGGGAACAGCATCCCCTAGGGAATCCAACCAGTCCTCCACCACGAGATCTCCCAGCCAAGCCCTCAGTCAGTTCATTAAATTTCAGGCCTTGTCTACACACAGACGTCACACCGGGGAGAGCAGATTTAGCTCAATGGGTGCGAGCCGTGGCCTGTGTGGGCCCAGCCCCGGGGGTTCTCCTTGGACCTGCGCTCAGGCAGATGGACACGGATTTAAGAGCGCCTGCACACAGACACGTGCCAGGTCAGCTGCCTGGAGTCAATCCCCTCTCTATCTGAGCTGGCATAGGTGGGTGGGGGCCAGGCAACGAGATCACAAGGCTGGATCCCATCTCACTCTCCCCTTTGAACCCAGCCAGCTGGCACCAGGGGCACCTGCTGCTGAGAACCCTCCTCCCCCAAGTGCCCGGTGCCCTCATGCCCCTTCCCATGCACCTGGGTGAGTCTGACTGACAGGGTGGTTATGGGGCCGCAGCTTTCCACGCGAGTCCAGCCCCGGCCCCACTGGTGCTCACCCCGTACCCCCTCCCACCATGGTCTCACCCTGCCCCAGGGCGACACATTGACCCTGGGGCCGCTCCGCTGAGGCTGCGAGCTCGGGGCTGGTCAGGACCCTCCGGAGAGCAGCTCCTACCATGAAGGCATCTGCCCACAGGGAACTGAGACCCAGCACACTCGGGTCACTGTCACCCTGCAGCAGGTGCCCCAGGGAGTCCCCAGCCCCAGGACACAGCTCTCCGGGGGGCCACTTAGCTGCGCCCCCTGGAGGCCGGCCGAGGCACGACCCGTCCCCGGGCCCAGGCACTCACCAGGGCGGTGTAGCCGGTCAGGTCGGGCTCGCTGGGATCCACCCGCTTCTCCACCAGCAGCTTCCGGACTCGCCCCAGGTCCCCATCCAGGGCAGCCGACCAGACCCCTAGAGAGAGGCGAGAGCTGGGGCCCGGCGTGGGGGAGGCGGGCAGCTTCCCCCCAGTCCCCGCCAGCCGCTTGGAGCCGCTACGCCCCCCCCCATGGCCCCCCAGCCGGGCTCCATCCCTCCCCCCGGGGCAGCGCCCCCCCCATGGCCCCCCCAGCCGGGCTCCATCCCTCCCCCCGGGGCGATCTCCCGCTGCTCGCTCCAGGGCCCCCAGGGACAAGCGCCCGGGGGCGGAACAGCCCCGCTGCCAGGGGCGGGGAGGGGGGGGGCAGGCCGGGTCCCTGCTCCCCACCCCGGTACCTCTCTCGAAGTCCATCTCCGCCGCGGTCTGGTGCACGCCGGGCACGGCCGGCCCGTGGGAGCAGCAGGAGCCGGGGCGGCCCGAGGAGGCCATGCGGGCCCGATCCCCGGGGGGGGGGGGGGCAGTCTCAGCCCCACGCCGGCCAACGGCGCCCTGGGCTTCGCGCAAACCCGTTTTCAGTTCCCCGGTTCCGGTTCCGGTTCCGGCTGGCGCGGGCAGACCCGCGTTTGACCGGCCCCGGGCTCCCGCT